AAGCCTTGGTTCTCTGCACGGAGTAACGAGGAAGCTTAGTTTCCCACAAACGGTGCCATTGATCTGACCTGATCAGAAGGAGAACAATGACCTGCCACGTATCGTTGATCTGCAAGCTGCTCACAAGGAATATGGACGAGGAGGGGGTGTATCTGCAGGACACTCCGAAGCCAAAGTGAGTAATGGACCAGAGTGGGAGCAAATACAAAACAGGGGTTAAGAAGAGAATACCCGACCCTCTAGTGAAAGAGGGTATTTATAGAGAGACCCCAGCGCAGGGCCAACGGTCATTTGTGTTGGGCTGGATTGTCAGGCCCAACCCAATTGACTGCTAGGGCTTACGTGGCGTAGTGAAGACTAGCACATGGTCTTCGCCCTAGTTCAACTGTCTCGTGATCTCCGGAAGGTGGGCTGACCAGCTCTTTCGGAGGTCGGTAGTTGGCTGATGACTTGTCTCCGCAGAAGGGGCACGTGGAGAACGTGTGGAGGACATGTTGTTCTTCCCGACGGAGGGAGCGTCCTGATCGACGCAGATGCGTCCTGGTCGACGGAGGGAGCGTCCTGGTCGAAGAGGGAGCGTCCTGGTCGACGGGGATACCTGTGCTCGACATATGACAACTTGGGCCTGTTTGGGCCTTCCCCGTATTCCTCTAGGTTGGGCCTGTCTGGTCAAGCCTGGCCCAACCCAAAACAGTTTCTCCACAAGACTTCATCTCATTTGTGACCACAATCACTCTGAAGATGTAATCAGACACATTTTCATTGTTTTTCATGTTGAGATTCTCATATTGCTTGCGTAGGGACTACATCTTTACCTTCTTCACTAATGCGTCACCACCATAGCACCACACTAGTGTATCTCACGTCGCCTTCGTCGAATCAACAATATATATTTTTAAATTTATTTTATAAAATTTCTATGATAGTTTATGAAATCATATAGAAAAATAATTTAAATTTTGTTTTTTTTTTGTACTAAAATATGAAACTTATTCATAAATATTTATACTATAAACGGTAAATAAAGCTTTTATCCAAAATTAATCACTATTTGGGTTTTACTTATTATTAGATTTTTTTCTTTTGCTTTTAATAACAACTAGCGTTCAGACGGCCACTCCCGTGCCCGTCTGTCTGTTTTTTTTAATGCGCACAACATAGAAAAATAAACGTGTGTATATTTTGTATGAACTATATATTAATGAATTAACTATATATTAATGCTACTATTATTTTAAACATACCGAATTAAATAAAATTTAGATAAAAAAAATGTTGTATATGTGAATTTTGATATTTTTTATTTAATTTAAATTATTTGTATAGTAAACTTTTTAATTTAAATTATAGGTGTGATTTTTTTTTTGTGAGAGATGGAAGTTACTTTTTCAATTGGTAACCAACAAAAGTTATTAACCACTCAAAATTTTAAATTAAACTATTTTCTTGTTGATAAAAAAGATGAAGGGTAATTTTGGAATAAAAATAAGCCACTCCAAAAACTTGTATCCCCTTTATATATAATTATAGATAAAATGATATCATTATATTTTTGGTGTCTATTTTTCCTTTTGTTAATGAAATCAAAACAAAAAATGATTGCACAAATGAAAAAAAATTGCTAGGAATCATAATTTTTGGATGTTCAAGTAAAAAATACAAATCTATTATCAAAAATCAAATAGAAAACATTATTAAAACAAAAAACTTTTTATAATAACATTAACGCAAACTTTTATAAGTTTACAGAGTGTCCATAATTTAGACTACTATTAGTATTTAGCATGAAAGAAAGGTATTACGAACAACATATAAAATCATTTTTAACTTTCAATTTACAAAATCTCAATAACAACCTACACAATATAATTAAGTATCATATATTTTTTTGGATATTTTAAAAATGATCAATTATTTTCTGATGCATTGATAAAAAAAATTAAATATATATAGTTCAAGTTTGTATTTCTGAGGAGTTGAATGGTGGTATAGTAAATGACTTGATAATTGGTAAAATATACAGTGATATACAATGGTTTGTAACAACTCTAACTTTCTACAAAACCTTTTTTTTTTTTTATATTTATACTGTAGGTAATCACAAAGATACATTGACAGTATACACAATTCACACAATTCAAAGATTCAATAATAATGGAAAGAAAGACAAAATTGCATGTGAAAGAGAATTTAGATGAAATTAACAATTCATGAGAGAGACAAAAATAACTTGCAAGTGAAAGAGAGATAATTGTTTAGGAAGTTAAAGATAAAGATGATAAAAAATGGTTAAAGTTTTAAATTGAGAATGAAACAATTATTATTTACTAAATTTATTTTGTATACGTGGTTGGTTTTAAAATAACAAGGTCAAATATCTAACAAATATATGTTAGTCCAAAATGTTATATTGTCTTTATCTATAAGGTATAGATAAGTATAGATTAATGTTTACGTCACATTGTAGAAATTATACAATTAAAAAATTGAGATATTGTTTATATTTTTTTTAAAATTTTTGCAAATTACACAGGTAAAATTGGAACAATAATAGATAAAGATTCAAGAGAAAAAACTAAAATTTTAAAAATTTAATAAAAGTAGTCATTGTTATTTGATCTAGAAATTAGAACACATTTTTTTTTTCTTTCGTAAGAGATAATGATTCATTTTTCTTCTACAATAGAGACAAAAATTAAAGTATTAGACATTAAAAAAAATCCAATAATCTCAATTTTCAAACCCCAATTTCACATATGGATTTGTTTATGTAAAAAGAACAAAATAGTAAATAAAAATAAATAAAAAACCAAATTAAAAAATTAGATTGAAGAATCTAAATGCCCTAATAATTAACTATAACAGAAATCATTGTGTGATTCACAGTCCCTATTATGACATCTGTAAATTGTAGATTTCTCTTTTCTACCACTATTATGAACATTTTCTGAATTCCAATTTTCCTCATGCAGACTTTCTTCTTCTCTATTTTTGACTTCTATAGACCCAATGATTTAGAAATGAAAGACATAACTTATAAGCAGAAGTTATTTAAATATAATTTTTAATTAGAAGTTAAAGTAAATTTTCTTTTCAAATAACTAATTACATTGTACAATATTCAAATATAAAAGAGAGGAAGTAGTTAATTTTTATTTGTATAACTTCTGAATAGTTTTAAAGAGTAAAAAATAAAAGAAAATAAGCTACACAAAAACAATGGAAAGTGTGATTTATCTAACGGGTGGATAGTGTGGTTTAAGGGTTTTAACCTAACAAAATTTCAACCAGAACAAAACAAAACCGAGCAAAGTTTGAGTTTTCTCTTCGCTCAACCTTCCGCAAATTTCAAATACGCCGCCGTTTCATCCTCATCCCTCGTCTGTATACGGTAGCGTGATGCGTGAGGTTGAAGTGAAAGTGTGAGGTAAGAGTAACAATACGTTCATTTTGTATCGAGTATTTGATATTTGATTCCAAAGTAGATGGAAGAGTATTTGATATTTGATTCCAAAGGGTTTCTTCAACTGGTTGTTTAGAATGCCAGCATTACATTAGGAAAAATAGTGAATTTTGGCCTTTCTTGAGGTGGAAGAATACATAGGTTTTTTTCAACTAGTTGTTTAAAATGCTAGCATTAGGAAAACCGGTGAATTTTGGCCTTTTTGTGGTGGAAGTAGTTTAACTATAATTCATTTTTGTGGATAGCTATTGTCCTAACCTAATACTATGTACTAGTATGTTTTGCGATGATGTTTTCTTATGAAATTCTTTTGTTATACAATGCATATCATTGCATAGAGATGGCCAAGTTAATTTGCATTGTTTATAAAATACTATTTTGTGGAGATGATTGCTTATGCAATTATTTTTAACCGAGTGTGCCACCTTTAATAAGAAGGAAGTTCTCATTGCTTATACGACTTTCTTGTGGGATAATTGGAAATATTATGCATGTTGTTTGGTGGACATCCCTTATATGGCGAGGTTGAATATTTATTATTTTCTCTCTTTTTTCATAGACAACGCTGGGGTGAAAACAATGAAAAGAACACCATCGTTTTCAAACTACATGTTAGTTGTAAAAAGGGTCATCCCCGTATTACAGGTAAATGACCTGAAACTCTTGCTTGATAGTCTTTATGCTGTTACTGATATCTTTTTCAGCTATATAACTCCCTGTTTGATGATATTACAATATAAATGCAGTGAAATCAGATGCACTGAAGTGGTTGCCTAAAGGAAGTGAGCTTGTTGCTGATAATACCAAAACAAATGCTGATTCAAGGGCAAAAACATTTGCATCTTTTAGTTGCAGTCAAAGCTCACTTCCTGGATTCTCCAAAAAACAATTGCTCCTAATAATTTGGATATTATATTAGCTAAACTTGGACCTGGTCAGGTAACCCCATCCTCTATCCTTTCTTTCCTATGACCACCCTGCATTGTCTACTTTGGTGATGAAGAAACTGATACCAAGAACTAAGCTGTAGCTCTGCTGAATATGAGAACTAGAAAAAGGAATAAAATTTGCTATTAATCCAATAGGCCATCACGGTTAATGAACCAAATTCTGTTGAGTTGGAACTTAGCTCTACCGAGCTTAATCCAACTCCAACATGTATTTTTCCCTTAATTCCCTTAATTTTGAATAGTGATACTATGTATGTACTCTGCTATATGTTATGGTAGTGGGATGGTACAGCTGGATGAATAATTTACTATGCACACAATGTGTTTATACTATGTTAGATGTTCAAACATCATTTGTGTTAAGTACTCTCACACATTTACAAGTCAGGCTTATGGAAATTCCATGAATTTACATGTTCTAATGAATTTGACAACCTCAGTATGAGCTATATTTGATTTTGCAATCATGTAACTATTTATTGTACTTAATAGTTATTACTTAACATAATAGTTGCTAAACACATGCTTTTCTAGGAAATCAAACTTGAAGCTCATGCTGTTTAAGGCGTTGGCAAGACACATGCAAAATGGTCTCCGGTTGCCACTGCTTGGTATCCGATGCTTCCTGATGCAGGAAATATCATTGATATTGTTTGCTGCTCACACATAAACAGACTGAAGAAGTGACAAATATCTGACATTTGTGTGCTTGGCTTTTCTTCTCTAGGTTGTACTCACGAAAGATGTTAAGGATGACCTGGCTGAAGAACTAGTAAGTAAATGTCCAGCTAAAGTCTTTGATATTGAAGATATTGGAAAAGGTAATTTAGTTTTTTTTGCTTGATTTTCTAGTATTAGATTTTTGTATCTTTCTGTTCTGAACCCTGATGGTTAGAGATTATGTCCAAGTGATGTTGCATTACCGTTAATCATTCGTGTTCTCAAGCTCCTATTTCTTTGGCTTTCTTTATAATTGCTGATTTTGTTGTTTGTTCATAGGTAGAAGAAGGGCTACTGTAGTCAATGCACGAGCATGCACTTTATGTAGGGAATGTATCAGAGGAGGGCAAGAATGGGAGGATCGAGTAGCATTGCGTTGTGTCAAAGATCATTTTATTTGTAAGTATTATGTTGTTATATTAAATTCATGGTATTAGAACTTTTAAGTTTTCTCGATATACATTTAGGCAATCTTAGGAATCTAGTTTCTTGTAATAAATTTAAAGCTTGAGTTTTGACAGGGTTCTGATATGGATTATTGTTTTATATAATCTCTGAAATAACTTGCACCTGTTTTTTTTTTCTACTTGTTTTTCTAGTTACTATTGAATCAGCTGGAGCATTACCGCCTGATGTGCTATTTACCGAAGTCGTGAAGATTCTAGAAGATAAATGTGAACGAGTTATTACAGAGCTTTCTTGATTATTCTTTTTGCAATGTTCTTAAATGAATGAAAAACTGAAATGTCATACATGATCAATTCAGTTATTTATTTGTTTTACTATGAACAAATATATAACTTGTGATATGAATGTAAAACTGAAATGTTGTACATGATTAATTCAGTTATTCATTAATTTAATTATCCGTCATATAAATAATTGATTTTTTTATAAAATAATAAAATAACTCACCATGTATCTAGGAATGGATATACTAATGGTAAGTAGGTCAACTTGCAAGTGAGTCACACCTCCACTTGAAACAGCAGCAGGAAAAGGAATGGGTTTATTCTCCATAAAATGATTTTTTAAGTGACTCTGCAATAGACCTTTGCCCATGCTGCAAATTGCAACTCTACTGTTAACAAAATGGAATCTAGCTACACAGTGATGTAGCATGCCATGTAGATGACATATTAAGGATATTGAAATTAAACAAGAGTCAATACACACATAAAAAATATCACGAAATGAAAAGTAACAAATTAAATATCACTATATGAAGTGGCTATACTTTAGACACTTGGAGAGAAACAAAAAGGTGATCAATTTGGGAAATATCATTAACAAATAACATTTATCCATTTAAAGGTAAACCAAATTATCTTTTTTTTTTTCAATAAAAATCCAATTGAAAATAAATTTCACACATCTGATTTAAACCCTCTTTGATTCAACAGTATAGTTTTATGAAAATTAAACAAATTTTGTAAGGAACATATACTTTGCTTCAAAGCACAAAAAATGAAATTGAATATTCTTTCCCTTCCAAAAGACATAACCATAAAAGTCATGATGAATCTACACAAAAACCAAACACGTACACCTTATTGTTCCCTATTGACACAAGCAATCTTACAATTGCTATAAGTATACCCAAACCAAACCAACCAATAGAATTCTTTCATATGGCCCATCACAATCCCATACCAATAAAAGTGCTTTCTCTATAAACCAAAATATAACCAACAAAATAAAACCACCCTCACTCTTTCTCTCACAAAAAAAATTGTTTCTTTTTTCAATATCTAAAGAGTAAAAGCAAGTCCAAAATTGTTGCTTGTTGAAAACCATTGAAGGAAAGTACAAAACAATCAAAACCCCATATTGAAAGTTTTCATTTTTAAAGCTTTAATATAGTATAGTAGTGATGAAGTGGAAGTAAGAGAGAGAGGGAGAGAGAGATTCATATGAAGAGTAACGAGTATTGTGGAAGAAAGAGTCAACCTGGGAAAGCCGGGAGAGTTTTTGTTGGAAGGTATATTGGATTGCATCCATGAAATCACAGTTGCACTTTCCTTTCCCAATAGAATGAGTGATTCTCTTTACAAAGTTGATACAACACCACGTCTTGCTCAATGGAGAATCGAAAACTTGGCTTCTTGCACTTATCGCAAATCAGATCCTTTCAAGATAGGAAACTGGAACTGGTCTCTCTCTCTTTCTCTCTCTAAAAGTTTTCATTTTTAATCATAGTAATGGAAATTTGAAACAGCCCACATGGCTAAATAGAATTGATTATGTTATAACATGTTTATTTTGTCATAAAGTTTTGTTTTTTGCAAGACCCTTTATGAGTTTTGTGAGTGTGTGTGGCTTATTATGTTGTGTTTTTGTTTTGTGTGAAATTAAGGTATTTGTCGGTTGAGAAACACAAGGTTGTGTTTGTTAAATTGTTTCCTGAAATATCCAATGTCACAAGAGACAATCCTCCAATTGCATCTTTTATTATGCGTGTGGTGAGTTCTGCTCTTGGAGATCGCAAAGCTCTCACACATCCAGGTAGTTTTTTAGATTCTGTTTTTTGCAATTTTTATTGTTTCAACAGTTTCTTGTGTTGATTCATTTCTCTTTTTTGATATGATGCAGAGATAAAGGACAAAGTGATCAAAAGCAACGAGGATTTTGTTTGGTCACTTGAGGTTCCACTGTCTGGAAAATTCATTATTGATGTTGATTTCCTTGATTTGAAGATTGCATCTCCAGATGTATGTGCTCAATGCCTATTTCTTTGTTATTGATTTTCTGTAGTGTTCATTATCTTGATAACATAGTAACATAGTAAAAAATAGAATAACTGAACGTAACTACCTGTGTCGGTATCGCACACAGACATGTATCAGACACTGACACAAAAGACTTCATAAATATGAAGTGTCGGTACTACATAATTGAAATAGTGTATTACTTTGAGACTACATGGTGCATTACCATGTTTAAAATGTTATTTTTCAATCAATGCGTTACAGGGTGGAGAACCTTGCTCTATATGGGGCGGTGAAGGATTTACGCAAGAGAGATCGAATGCAAAAGCGCTAGGGTCGCTTGGTAAAATGCTAAGAAAAGGAATCCACACGGACGTAACCATCAATGCTTCTGATGGAAGTATAGGAGTTCATAGAGCTGTTCTCGCATCTCGATCACCTGTCTTCCAAAGCATGTTCTCGCACGATCTTAAAGAGAAAGAGTTGTCGACCATAAACATCACCGACATGTCAATCGAAACATGTCAGGCTTTTTTCAACTATCTTTACGGGATCATCAAAAACGAAGAATTTCTAACTCATAGGCTAGCCCTTCTACACGCAGCTGACAAGTACGACATATCTGATTTGAGAGAGGCCATCCACGAGAGTCTTCTCGAAGATATTGATACGAAGAATGTACTTGAGAGGCTCCAAAACGCGTCGCTATATCGCTTGACGAAACTGAAGATGAGCTGTATTCAGTATCTTGTTAAATTCGGTAAAATATTCGAAATTCGGGATGATTTTAATACGTTCCTCCAAAATGCAGACAGGGATCTCATTTCTGAAGTCTTCGCCGAAGTTCTCGGTGCCTGGAAAGGATATTGAAGATCTTGCAACTTCGAAGAAGAACAAGAAGGATTTGTGTTATGAAATATACCAAAGAAATAGATTGTTTGAAATTGTTGTGAAAATGTGAAGGATTTGCTTTGATGAACTTAATTCTTTTGCTCAATTGTATTTTTTTTCCCGATATTTCCTTGTACATAGTTATGTCATGCTGTTAAATATATACCACAGGTGTATTGTTTACAAAAAAAAATGTAAATTAAACAAAAAAAGCACATATATTTGTGAATGGAAATGCTTATGAATTCTTACATTTGTAGTATTCTAACTAACAGAACAATATTGTGATATAATCAAACCTCGTCTGCAGTCCTGTTGGCCTTTTCAAGGGTTGATGCTGAAAACTTTTGCATTGCAACTCCTGCATCAAACCTTAATGTGTAGTTTGAGGGTGCCAAATGGATGGCTCTCACTAGAGTTTTAATACAGTCTTGCCGCTGCTCAGCTTCATAATAGGTACGAGCCGAGTATAGAAGTATTTGCAAATCTGGGTTACGAAAAAACTTCCGCAAGCAATTCTGATACTGGTATCATCTTAAAATTGTGATTGAGACTAACTCAACTTTACAAAACCAACTTATAAAGTGAAAATTGTCATCCACTTATAAACATATATTACCGTATAATACGATTCTCAGAGTCTCTAATAGTATATCATTTAGAATGAAACAGATTGAATTGAAGGGAATGATGAAAATATGACTTTTTCTTAATCTATCACACACATAGAAAAAAGAAAATATCTCTTGATATCAAAGACAAGAAAAACCATTCGATTGTCTCCCACATAACTAAAGACATATAATGGCCTAGAAGAAAGACACCCTCCACTTTGATTTAAATATAAAGTTTCTTGCCTTGTAATTAACATGGTAACTTCAAAAGTGGACCACAAAGTTTTGGTCATATAACATATTTTAATTTGAATTACACATAAAGTTTAGCATCAAAACCAAAATCAACAAGTATAATATAACACATGAATATAAAACAAACAGTACATAATAATAACACCAAAATAAAATTGAAGAACAATTCACCTTTAACAGCAAGACTATTGGAGAGGGTCATCAATCCATGTTTTCAACAGAAGCAGTTTAGTTAGAACTTGGAAGAGAAAAGAGAATGGTTATGTGAATTTAACAAGCAATTGCATTATGCTTTATGTGATACATGCTCTGGCAAGAATATGGAATATTACTAGGATCTTTCTCTTGCTTATGATATGCGAAACTTATTTAAGTATTCATTAATAAGAATATTTAAACTTAAGTTTTTGTAGATTTTTCATAGTAATTTATAGGGTTATTAAAAAATTGTCTATTTATTCATTATACTGTTTTCAGCCCGGCCCAATTATTTGGTTTTAAGGCCCAAACTTTCTATAACTAGACCGAATTTCAACAAAATCAAAACCCTAATAGTTTCAGCTCTTCCTCTTCACCTTGCAAATCAAGCACGCCTCAACAGGTTCACGATGCAGCGAAACGAGGCATCATCTTCAATGGAAGTGGACACTGTCCAATCTGAACCAAAAGTTTTACCTCCAAAGCCTCAATTTGCGCCGCTAAAGCCTCACGAGATGTCTAGTGGTCAGGTTCAGTTTCGCAAGGTATCCGTTCCGCCGCATCGTTACACTCCTCTCAAGAAAATTTGGATGGAGATCTATACGCCTGTATACGAGCAGATGAAAATCGACATCCGAATGAATTTGAAGGCGCGGAAAGTTGAATTGAAGACAAGGCACGATACTCCGGATATAAGTAACCTTCAAAAGTGTGCTGATTTTGTCCATGCTTTCATGCTGGGTTTTGATGTTATTGATGCCGTTGCTATTCTCCGGTTGGATGAGCTCTATGTTGAGTCCTTTGAGATTAAGGATGTTAAGACACTTCGAGGGGATCATTTGTCTCGGGCGATTGGAAGATTGTCTGGAAAAGGCGGTAAGACTAAGTTTGCAATTGAGAATGCGTCGAAGACTAGGATTGTGATTGCGGACACCAAAATTCACATTCTGGGGTCGTTTGCAAACATCAAGATTGCTAGGGATTCTCTATGTTACCTAATTATGGGATCGCCGGCGGCAAAGGTTTATTCTAAGTTGAGAGCGGTTACTTCTAGGATGGCGGAAAGGTTTTGATGTTATAGTGAAAAGTTATATAAGAGTTATTTATGAATGTTTGGTTGAATGGATTGTTTCAGATTTATTTATCTAATTTTGGTTTTTTCTTGTGTTGTAATGATAGAAATTAGAATTACTTTTTTTCTTTTGAACTTCCATGATTATTATCGATAATGGCAAAATCAATCAATTTCAATTGTGTGTTTATAATCTGGGCTAAAATTCTATTAGTTTTGTGTATTTATGCATATTCTTGTCTTAAAAAATGTCATGGTTATTGAGAATTGAGTAGGAAACTACTCTTGCCCTCAGGTTTAAGGTGTTGGCTATGCTTTGTTTTTAGGTAAATTAGCATCTTCATAGTGTATACTTTAGCTCCTGTTATGTGAGGAATTATGTGCAATTGGCTGAGTTTTTTTTCCTGCGGCCTGGTTTTTTCTGCTGCTATGTTGTTGCAGGAGCTTGGAGCTGGTTTTTATATAAGTTTGCAGTACATGGAACATGTTTTGGTTTTGGCTAAGTATAGTTTCTGTAACTTTTGCGGTACATGGAACATAATTCAAAGAAAAATCTGGTTGTTATAAGGAATTGCTTCAAGGGCATAAAACTTTCCTTTGAAGTTTGATGGGTCATAGTCCCAATTATGTTTGGTTAACCCTTTGTTGCAATGTAGGTTAAGAAATCCTTGATTAATGAATTATGGGTCTAATTTTCTAAATTTTGATTTGATACTGTTTTTGACCGCAGTAAAACAAACTTTCCATTGCTACTGATTCAAGGGCATAAAACTTTCCTTTGAAGTTTTGATGGGTCATAGTCCCAATTATGTTTGGTTAACCCTTTGTTGCAATGTAGGTTAAGAAATCCTTGGTTAATGAATTATGGGTCTAATTTTCTAAATTTTGATTTGATACACTGTTTTTGACCGCTGTAAAACAAACTTTCCATTGCTACTTTAAGCTTCTAATGTATTTGTTTGGAAAAATAATTTAGAGCTTCTATGAAGTAAAAAAATTTTAAAAAAATTTTAGCTTCAAAGGTATTGTACAAAATCAACTTTTGCTACAGCAGAACACACACCAAGTAAGCAAGGGCAGGGATGAAAATACAATAATACCATAATCAGATATTGATCAGCTTAAATAAGTATTGAAAAACATTAGAATAATAATCAAATAGAAAATTTCCTTTCAGTATGAAAGTTGACTGTAAATGCCATATCATGAATCAATGAGGTCTATAACTTGTTTTCTACAATTTGAAATGAAATTCAAGTAATAAATGAATCCTTTTTCAAAAATATAAGAGTAATGCTGTTTTCAGCCAAAAAGAAACCCAGCTGCTTGTTCCTCATTGCCATTGAATAGTTGAAGAGCTTCTATAACTGCTTGTCTTTCAAATCCTAACTCAACAAGCTTCGCAACTTTGCCTTCAAATTCAGAATCCTGCAAAAACCAAATCAACCATAATCAAAGAGTTTTCAAACTGACATAATTCATATTCATCACACAAAATAAGCCATCATAAAATACCTTAGACCTGTCGCCACCAGAAGCACCACCTCCTTGCGATGAATTATTGCTCCCTGATGTAACCTGAAAGAATGTCACAACATATCATAATAAGCTGTTTTCTCAAATAGTCTCACAAGTGCTTATACAAGTAGATAAACCAAAATAAGTCAGTTCAAACAAGTCCTAAGAACCAGATTAAAGTCATACAGCTTCAATTCAAACAAGTGCTTGTGTCGTTAAAGTGTACTTACTGGGGGAGGGACTCTTGAGCTTGAAGCTTCCTTGGAATACTTGTCCTCATCTAAATACCGAGATGGAATGTCTTTCTCTGAAATTATAAAGTACAAGAAGGTTAAATATCGTGTTGAAAACAGAACTGTGCAAACTAATGAGAAAAATCGGTCATTGTTAAAAATCCACAGATAAGATATAACCAACCTTGCAAAAACGGCACTGAAACTTCTCCTCCACCAACTCGCAAAACATTTTCTTTTAAATCAATTATACACTGCAGACATGAGACACATCGATAAGAATAACTAACAGTTTGGTGTAATTTCTGACAGTGACACGATGTACAAGATTGCAAATGAGGGTGGTACGGTACCTGATGCTTTCGGAGCATATCCAGCCCAAAGAGAAACTCCATGTTGGGGGAATCCAGCACTAAGAATGAACAAGGGTAAAATATATTCCCAATCTACAAGAAATAGAGTAAAATGCAAAATATGAGCAAGAGAATGGAGCAGTAAGACACAAGTGACACGACTTCAATAGCACCAAACTCTTTCTCTCTTGATAAGATCGGTTAAAACATTACCTTGATTGGAGCTACATGTATTCTACCCAAGATTTCTGTTTGGCCAACTCCATGAGCAACTCCTTTGTAACGCTGATCTAAAAGTCTCAGTAATCTACAACATAACACAAACCATCAAAAAATAATTCTATTATAATCTTATAGATGTATTAGAAGCAAGTTTCAGTAATATCGAAGTGCATACCCTAAACGCTCAGCACAGGTTTTTGATATAATTGTAGACTGTGCTCCACTATCAACAAATGCCTGAAACAAAGTGAAAATCCAATTAATTCATGCTCCATTTCATACAATTTTCTGTCATTGAAGAACAGAAAACTGCAATACGTAAGCAACAAATCCTGAACTTAAAGAACAATGCTCTTTTGAGCGGCCACTTACCTTCATTGGTACGCCATTAACTTCCATATCAACATACAACATGACCTGAAATATTACAGCTTGGGAATTATTATTACGAAGAAAAAAAAACAAATCTATGAACATTAAGATATAAAAGTTGAAGAATCATATATACCACTCTTGCAAAACCTTCAGGATTATGTTCAAGTGCAGCTTCCCAATTTTCATCAATTCCTTTCTGTAAAATTAGTTGAAATAATGTTATTCGCAATAAAACAAACACAATTGATGATTATGAACATTAGTCATTAAGGACAGTAAGAGGAAATTGGTTGCATCACATGAAGCATAGTAAACATTAGAAACTGAGAAACACTAAATATATCTGTGCAACACCGCACAAACAAATATAGATTTACAAAACTTTCTTAAGTTTCTCAGATAAGGCGGTGCTAGTAGAAAATTATGGCAAACAAACTTTAACTGAATATTAATCGGAAAAGAAAATTTGATATATTTCCTTTGGTACCAAAATCAATGTTTTAAAAACTATCGGTTTAACTTTGTTGAAGATGTGATTAGGTCTGACGAATGGACGTAACTTAAGACAGAATCATAACCAAATACTTAATCTGTTATGTGTATGCTAATGAATTGTTTGTAGGTATAACAAAACTGACCTGGCGGATGGCAGCTTCAATCTTCTTTTGTGCTTCAACATCAAAGGGATCGGCATAAAGAAGAGCCTTGAAGAAAGATCAAAGAAATTTATGAGGAAAATAAATATAACAACAGAATAATGAAAACGTATGAGGAATACAGATGAAGAAGCTTGTAATGATATACAGTTTAACCTCTAGACAAATGAAGAGAAGAAACAGTGATCATACAATCAGCTTACCATCTCTTCTTCTTTCTGACGCCGTAACTGTTCTCTTTGGCGATGACGCAATCGCAAAATTTCCTGGATTTTATTGAGATCATTCCCCAGAATAACTTGTGCCAACTCCGGATCATTCTGTATGTTTCATTATAAATTGTGTCAGAATATAGCCAATACCAAAAACAAAAGAACCAAATAGCGTACTTAAATCCACGTATGAACTCAAAAGCACCATAAAGAAGGCACAAAAACTTCAGTGATAAAAGAAACATCAATTTACCTGGAAGAGCTGACCCATCAAATTAGAATCGCGTCTAAAGTGCTGCTGGAAAGCACCAGGGTTTATAGCAGATCCATCAGTATTGAAGCGCAAATCATTGGCAGATCCACTGAAATAATATAATTTCATCACAAAAGTTATCAAGTTATCGAACATTGTAATGATTCAGCTTCAACTTATTGATTACATCAATTAACGCAAGCACAAGAACATAGTCAATTTCACATATAATCCTGATTAACCTGAAAGGTTTAGTTCCGGTTTGAGAATACCGGTAAACAATGCATCATCTCAAAATGTAAAATCAATGGAAATTATACCTAGAAGCAACAGCACCAGCACCGGCACCAGCCCTAGAGATCGTCATCATTAGCAAATCATCATCCTTAACACCAAGGGCACTCAATTTCTGAGAATTGCTAACCTCATTCCCATTGAAAAGAATCTGTTGTTGCTGTATAGGCACACTTGTCTATTGAAAAGCACAACAAAAACACAATTAACAAAACTAACCCCTAAAAATTCTCAAATTAAAAAACCGTATGAGATCCAAATTTCAACATTTGAATCAACTACCAATATGATCAAACGGGATTTTTTTTTTGATTTCTAGGTTTTGATAATAATGATAATCGAATGACCTACAATTTCAAACAACATTAAAATTGACAAAAGATAAACTTTTTAATCCAAAAATTATATTTTTAGCGAGAAAAACGAGATGGGTAATGTGGAAAACTAACTCACCTCAACCTCAAGCAAAGCTTTAACGTTTTCAACCTAAGAGGGGCGAAAAAAAATTAAAAATCAGTGATAATGAAAGATAAATATGAATATAGAACCAAAAAAAAAAACATGTTTGATGATTACAGATTCGTTGGGATCGACATCCAAGTTGAGAATTTGTTCATCAGCAGTCATGACAGTGATCTTCATATTGAAGAAGAAAACGAGAGAGACAAATGACGAGGTTGATTTCGATTGTTGAAGAGGTAAAGTAAAAAAGACTAGTGGAAGACTAGGAAGGTTTTTAACTCTTATTATTTCTTGTTGAAGGGGTTCACTTCAAATTATGAGCTATATAAAATAAGGTAAATAGGATTGGTATTGTTATTTTTTTTTTATCTAATATATATTTTAAAATTTAAATTTAAATTAGAATTAGTTTATTTATTTATTTGTTTGTTAAAATTAATTTGAGGGTTGAATCAAATTTTTAAAAAAATATGTGATGTGATTTGATTTGATTTTAAATTTAAATTAGATGAATTTTGAATTGAAAGAAATTTAAATGATTGGATTAGATACGATAAGAATGAGAATGTTTTAAACCAAAAATACAATTTAAAGAAATAAAAAGATTTGACTTTTTTATTTTATTTTAGAGATTTTTTGTATTTAAATATTATTATTTTAAAATAAAAAGGATAAAATAATTTCGGATTACTATTAAGGATAACAATAGGTAGGATTTGAGCTGAGTATTATAGTACTTATTTTTATACCTGCGGATTTAAAAAATCCTCGTACCCGAGTTTATATCAATATGGGTACCAATATTTGTTCCCGTGCCCATATTTTATGGGTAACTAAGTACTCATACTCGTACCCACTTACTTGCATTTCTAATAAAACATTATCGATCAATTATAATTTATCATGGCATTTAAATTTTTTGAGAGTTTTAAAAAAACAGATATTATTGTTGAATTAAGAAATAAACAAGCACTTACATTGAAATATATATAAGTTTAATATAGATGTATTTAATAAAATTGATAAACATACATTTGTTTATAATAATAAAAATATAAAAATATAAATAATGCGAGTATGAGACGAGTTAGGTACTAAGGTACCCGTAACCGCGCCCATGCCCACGTATTTTAGTGGGTAATTGTCTGTACCCATTTTGCAGGTTTTTACCCTATCCGTTGTGGATCATTTTTACGGGTACCCTATGGAGATGGATCAAATTGTCATCCCTATATTACTATACTGGTATTAAGAACGAGGCGCAAACTTCCTTTTTGTCATAAAATTTATGATATGTGATTTTTTTTATGGTATATTGTACCTATGATTTCTATGAATTCATGTTCGCTTTTCAACTCCGTCGAGCGAACATAGAAGTTCTAGATCTAGATTCTTACGAATTCATATCCAAATCCTCAATTTACTAATTCGTGACTTCCTTATGTTACCAAATCAAGAACAAATCGATTACCAATTTTCATATTTTTTGTGAAATCACAATCATTTTCCATCTTCGCATTCGCAACTTTCTAAAATCTTACAACCGAGAAATGCTTAGAAGCGAGCACGGAGGTTTGTCATAGTCTATTCGATAAACCACCATTTTTGCTTAAACTCTTCGGAGTCTGGGTCTCCAATTTTCTTAAGAACTCCATAGAATAGCAAAAGGAAGAACCTCATATCCAAGTATATGGTTACGCACGGGTCTAAAGGCGATTTTCGTGAAGGTCGGACCTGAGATTCGCAATTCTCCTTTCCACCTAACGTCGTCCTAACGTTTCTCTCTTATTGGGCGCTTATCGAGGCAACGTTTTCAAGATATCATAAGTTCATAGTTAATGACTCCCGAATACTACAAGTTCATAGTTAACGCCTTGCGTCGATCCAGTATTGAGGTGCCTCACATAGGCACCACAAGATTTCCACTTGACGCATCAGGGTCTCCTAAAGCTAGATAAAATAGTATAGGTTCGCAAAGCACGCCCGAAGAAAGGTACCTCATACATCAGTTGCAAGGAGACCGGTTAGTAGCAACCTCTGACTGCCGCTCAGTGTAACACTTTAAACCCCAAAACTTATTTAAAAATATTTACAATAATTTAAGGTGTCACCAACGACAACCCTTCGAAAACACATCAAATAATTTGAAACTACATAAAGGAAAAACATTTCCTAGCAACTTCATAAATAAAGTAATAAACTTCAAAACAACAAAACCAACATTTGTGGTTTTTAGTGTTACACAATCAGAGCACTAAAAACCACAAATGTATGACAAAACACTAAACAAAGAAAACTAATAGTAGCTCCAACAAGCCATCTTCCACACACAACAATAATGTTTACTCCTGGTTATCTGCAAGATGTCCATGGTGGGCAACATGAAACAAAGGCGTAAAAAAATATATTCAATATGAACAGTGTAAAGAATTCTAAGGTAGAGAAACACACAACATAACACACATTCAATACACAATCAACGTCACCAAAATCTCACACCCATTCATAACAACATGCACATATGTATATGAAATGCGACCCACGACACAACGTGACACTTATGCATGTGGTACCATTATGGGCAACACATATCCATCTCGCTCCTGAATCACCACCATAGGACTAGAGCACACCAATTTGATACTATCACCATAAATAATGCTTCATTGATTCCCATCTAGAACCAGCTACTCGCTCGTGAATCCACACCATCGGACCAGAGCACACCAAAACTGGACCGAAGTCTGCACACCATGATGCATGACTTTCAATAACATGCATTATCACCAAACAACAAAACTATATCAAATGCATATTCACACAACGTTCAAACGTATTAAATCATTTTAACATCAATTCATCATTAAGTAAACACGATAATTCACAAAATTATCCATACATTTCATAACATAAATTTCTATAGTGAATATACAATTACACATCAATTATCTCACCAAGCACCACCATGAGGTAGCTTCGTGCGTTAACTCTCCAACGCTTGAAATATCACCTCATTTAGATATACGGAACTAAAGTTATGGCTGAAATCTTCGGGCAACGCAACATGGTTCAAAACAGTTTTTTTTTCAAAAATTGGCTTGCAACAATCGATTATCATGGGATGACAATTGATTGTCATCAAAATCATTTATATTATGACTTTCTCAAAATTAGCTTTAAGAGACTATGCAATCAATTAATTTGAATGGCAATCGAATGGCATGATATATTTTTTCAAAAATTGAACGCGTGCAATCAATTGTCATTGGGTGACAATCGATTGTTGTAACACCCTAAATCTCAAAACTTGTATAAAAAGGTTTACTCCACAATTTAAGGTATCACCAACGACAACCTTTCAACAACACATTGATATTTTGAAAACATGCAGCGGAAAAGTAAACCACATATAAAACCTATCATCGCATGCTCACCTTCACTTAGGGTATCCTCGCAGCGGAATCATATTAATCGCAACAACAAAATATATTAACTTCGATTTGGTTATTATAAAGACTTAACTTCAACAAAATACATCAAAAGGAATTTTAATAATCAATTATCTACAACTTCAAAACAATTCAACATAATAGTTTTTAAACTTCAACAAAACAGCTAAGTCGACATCAAACATAAATGAAGAAAACATTGTTCGCTCTTAATGTTACAGAATCAAAGCATAGCGACTAAAAATGCAATAAAATAATGAAAATAAATCCAAAAGATATTTCCTAATCACAACAGCAACTCTACTCCTGAGTATCTATAAGATGTCCATGATGGACAATATCAAAGCAAAAAGGGTGAGAATTAATGTCAAGAATTTAGCGACATAAGCTACAAGGTAGAATTCAAACATCTACACATACAACAACAATCATACAATATCATTCTCACACCCAATCCATCAACAACACAAAGCAATCACATATTCATTATTTAAATTATTCAACGAGACTTACAACTTTGAGTAGACTCATATGTATGTGGTATCATATCATCATCATTTAGTTCACTTAGGAACCTGGTGTAAGTTATGCGGTTTTGGATTGGTAGAAATTTTGTTAAAAACAATTTTCAGCAAGATGTTGAGACAGATGTCGTGACAAGTTAGTCAGACAGCATGATCAGCATGATGTTGGGACATGTGGCTAGGACATGTTATACCAGAAGTTTATGGCTGAGGAGATTTATTATTTAAAGTGTGAGATTCTCTCTTGCTTTAGTTCACACATTGTCGCAATCCAAGGAAGGTAATTTAGGAACTTCATTCTATGCCAGAAGTGCATGTATTTCATAAAAAAAGAGACTTTGAGACATTTAAGAAAACATGAGATTTGATTTAATTTGTTCCTCTAGAAGATTTGATTTGGAGCTAATCTTTAGGAAATAATATATCATAGATCTAAATTTAATAATATATTATTTTCATAATTTTATGTAATTTAATAATATATCATTATCCAAAATATTATGCATGTGCTATTTAATTTAGCCTGATTTTCTCATCAAGTCCATATTTTTAGAAGGCTATTTAAAGGCGTTTCTAAACCTAAAACAAGAAACTAAGTTGCGTGTGTGCGAGGAGATTTTAGAGTTTAGTGTGTTCTTTGTTATTGTGATCCTCTCTTATGTCTTTTGACATCTGAGTTGGATTGTGTTGTTTGTGCATTTGTGAGCCATTCATGTACCCCTTAGGTACTTAAATTGGACTAAGTTTTGAGTTGTAATCACTCCTAAGCTTTTAAGCAAATAGTGGATTTTGTGTCATTAAAATTGTGACTTCTATTGTTCATTGTTGTTGAGTTTGTCACTATTGTGTGACTGGTGGGAAGTGAGAGGACTCTCATATCTAGGAGTTCCTAGGTAGAAATAGCACAGGTAGTGATTAGGTGAGAAGCTTGTTAAATAGAGGTTGTTTGTTGTGGCTTCAAACTAATACTATTATAGTGAATTTCCTTCCTGCCTTGGATGCCCCCCGGATGTAGGTAAGGTTGCATCGAACTGGGTTAACAAATTCCTTGTGTTATTTACTTCCTGCAATTCTATTTAAATTGTTCATTGTTAATTATGCTATTATGATGTCTTGACATTGCATTATACATCTTGGCTTCCTGACATTGTATACGACATTTGTCCACTTAGTGCTAGAATTTCCATTGGCATCAAAACAAGTACCA